CGCGATGAGGCAAAAGTAGATGTAGCATGATCGCTGTCGGGCCGTCTGCGATGGATCCGAGCATGCTGTGTTCTGACGACTTGGCGATGAGCAGATTTATGTATCTAGCATTGACAATCCGAATGCGTTTCCTCCGCAAAGGGTAACAGCAAATCGTCAATTCTGGGGCCCGTGCGAAGCTATGGAATGCTCTTGGAAGAGATCCAAGCGACATACTTCTGTTACCTATGATAGACAAACAATGAATCCGCCGGGTCTCCATACCGCGTGGGCTGAGAAATGATACGCTGAGGCCACCAAAACGGTTCCGCCTAGCAGGCATCCAAGGGATTAAGACTATACATGGTCAGACAAGCTAAATGGATCTAACTAGTATGGAACGCCGCATCTATTCCAACACCTCCGCCCTGACCTTGCGACCGCTGCCCACCCCCCCCACACGGAATACACTAGACAGAATGCACAGAAGGCAAAGGAGGATCTCTTTCGGAACGGCGAACCATGATGATCACGATACAGCGCAAGTGTCATCACTGCCACCGTCATTCTCGCATCACCCAACGTTGCGTCGCATGGTGTCGCATCGAGTCGCAGTGCGAGACATGTAAACACTACTTAATCAATGCTGCTGACATCTTCTTCGTTGTCACCATCACCGTCGTCAAAATCATCCTGGTATCCACCAGCATCTCATTTCCTCGCGGCTCCTGCATGATCAGATGTTTATCGTCGTCGCGTTCTGAATGTGCGTACGCACGGCTGCTCACGCGCTCAATTGCCATGTATTGCCGCTCGTCTGTCCATATGTTTCTCTCCCTCTCTCTTACTGTTTGACGTTTTTTAACCAAGTGCCTCGAACCTCTCTCCTCAGCCTCGTGGGGGATGGGCGGGGATCGGACGCATTAGAAATTAGAATGGGAGATTGCGCAAGGCTTCGGCGATGAAGGGATCACAATTCAGGAGGGGCCGCAAACTCGATAAATTACCCCACGGTGGCTCGCTTCATGTCGCTCCGCTCCGCATGCCTCTCGCTGCTAGAGAAACCCGCTGCTCCTACCGAGATCGAAAACGTCAACACCGCAAGGCCGCCATGAGAGGCCGAGCGAGCCTCAGCCGGCAGCCGATCGGAAAAGCAGAAACGTTCGCTCCTCAAGTGCACAAGGATCTCTGGGCGACCGGGTCGACCACAACGAGCTGTAGAGCTGCACCGCGACCGCCCCAGACTTTCTCTCACTCATGCCTCCGCTGGCACGCCGTTCTTCGCAACCGTCATGTGGTGTTGGGTCCTCGTTTTGAAGAGACAGCGCCCTTCGTCCCACCTCCTCTCCTCTCCTCTCCTCTCCTCCTCTTCCTCGTCCCCCGCCTGCCTGATCACATCGCTTCCTGCCCCCCCCACTCAACGCAGCGCTTCCTGCCCCCACAGGCAGCTCCACCGAAGGCCCGAGTGGCTGCGGTCGCATGCGCCCACCGCGCCGATCTCGGCACCCCTCTCACACGCTCCATGGCCCCACAGGGAAGCTACACCGACGGCCCCGGTGGCTGCGTTCGCATAGGCCCACCGCACCAATCTTTGGCACACGCCACCCACGCTCCGTGGCCCCACAGGCAACTCCACCGACGGCCCCTGTGGCTGCGTTCGCATGCGCCCACCGCACCCATTTTGGCACAACCCTCGCACGTTTCACAAATCCAGAGGGAGCTTCACCGACAGCCACAATCGTTGCGTTCGCATACGCCCACCGCGCACCCATTTTGGCACCCCTCTCACACGGTCCGTGGACCCACAGGGAGCTCCACCGACGGCCCCCGTGGCTGCGTTCGCATGCGCCCACCGCACAAATTTTTGGCACACCACTCAAACGCTCCGTGGCCCCACAGGGAGCTACACCGACGGCCCCTGTGGCTGCGTTCGCATGCGCCCACCGCACCCATTTTGGCACACCCCTCACACCTGTCGCGGCGCCATAGGGAGCTCCACCGACGGCCCCAGTGGCTGCGTTCGCATGCGCCCACCGCACCCATTTTGGCACGCCCCTCATACGTTCCGTGGCCCCATCGGGAGCTCCACCGACGGCCCCAATGGCTGCGTTCGCATGCGCCCACCGCGCCTACTTCGGCACACCCCTCATACGTTCCGTGGCCCCATAGGGAGCTCCACCGACAGCCCCAGTGGCTGCTGTCGCATGCGCACACCGCGCAGATTTTTGGCACACCCCTCACACGTTCCGTGGTCCTATACGGAGCTCCTCCGAGTGCGGTGCATACAACGACGGTGCACACAGCTGCATATGCTTGAGTCCTCCTTCGCCAGGCAACTTTTCCCCAGCCGCGAAGTTACTGCCGCACCCACGCGAGCGTGAGGGGCAACGTTTGGGGGGGACCGGCTCAGGGCGGGAAACATCGAGCTGGAGTTGGCGATGCATCGCCGATGGATCGGCGATGGGCCCCCGATGCGTTCCCTGGGCAGGGTGGGCTGTCAGGCCCCCGCTGGCATCGGCGATCCGTGGGCGATTGCGGGTCAATGCACCCCCCTCGGCCTAGCCCCCGCTGACGTGGCCCCTGAGAGCACCGTCTCCCCACCGCGCAACGCCGGGGAAACAAAAAAAAAAACACGGCACTGCCGCCGCGGCTGCGCCTCCGACAGCAGCTGGCACCCGACCGGAAGTGCACGGCACGCTGCGGGCCGGCTCCGCCCTCGGGCAACTCTGAGGTAGGTGGCGACATTCGAGCCCCACCCCCACCAGCCGTCGACTCTGCGGCATGGATGGAGGCGAGGCCCGTTTTCGATTCCGCCACGTGTTCGACGGACCTCGAATCCTGCCCCGGCCGCCCATCATGGGGAGCCCACAAAGGACGTACGCGCCCAGCTATGTACATGAACACGGCCCTCTGACCCGCGAGACCTGCCGCGTGATACAAACATTCGCGCAGCGCGAACTCTCGAAACCAGCGTGGATTCATGTACGTGTACGTCCTTTTTTCGCTCCTGACATCAAGTTGCCTGAGTCGTGGACCGGCGAAGGCAGGGCTCGGATCTCGCTCCCTGCCGGCGAGGGGACCCGTCGGACCCCTGGCGGCATATGTGCCCCGAGGCGCGCACGGCTCGGAGGAGGGCCGGTGCCGTCGCGACCGCGGCGGGGGCGCTGCCCCGTCCCCTCTGCTTCGCCTGCCCCTCCCCTCGCGCTGCCCCGTCCACTCTCTTTTCTGGCGCGCTCCCCTCGCGCTCTCCCCCTCCCCTCTCGCGTTCCCCCCGTTCTCTTGGGTGCCTCCCCTCCCCTCGCGCTTTTCTCCCCCTCCCCTGCGCCCTATCCCCTCCCCTCGCGCTGTTCTCCCCCTCCTCTGGGAGCTCCCCCGCGCTGCCCCATCCCCTCCATCTGTCTTTGGGGGCGGGGCGCCCGGGGAGGCTGCTCGCCGCCACGGCCGGGGTCCGCCCGGGAAGAAGGCGCGCATGGGCCCACACGTCCGATGTCGAGGCTTTTTCAGCACGGGCTCCCCGGAGGTCCCGGGCTCCCCCCCCAGGGAGCTCCTCCCCCTCCCCCTCCCCCTCCTCCTCCTCCTCCTCCTCCTCCTCCTCCTCCTCCCCCTCCTCCTCCTCCTCCCCCTCCTCCTCCTCCTCCTCCTCCTCCCTCCCCTCCTCCTCCTCCTCCTCCCTCCTCCCCTCCTCCTCCTCCTCCTCCCCTCCTCCTCCTCCTCCTCCTCCTCCTCCTCCTCCTCCTCCTCCTCCTCCTCCTCCTCCTCCTCCTCCTCCTCCTCTCCTCCTCCTCCTCCTCCTCCTCCTCCTCCTCCTCCTCCTCCTCTCTCCTCCTCCTCCTCCTCCTCCTCCTCCTCCTCCTCCTCCTCCTCCTCCCCTCCTCCTCCTCCTCCTCCTCCGCCTCCTCCTCCTCCTCCTCCTCCTCCTCCTCCTCCTCCTCCTCCTCCTCCTCCTCCTCCTCCTCCTCCTCCCTCCTCCTCCTCCTCCTCCTCCTCCTCCTCCTCCTCCCTCCTCCTCCGCCTCCTCCTCCTCCTCCTCTCCTCTCCTCCTCCTCCGTCTCCTCCTCCTCCTCCTCCCCCCTCCTCCTCCTCCTGCTCCTCCGCCTCCTCCTCCTCATCCTCATCCTCCTCCCCCCTCCTCTCTCGAATACCTGCTTCTTTGTCCTCGTCCTTCTGCTTCCTTGTTTGGTTGACCCAAAAAGGGGGTCCAGCTGAAAGGGGGTGGTGAAATAGATGTTGGGCAACTGTGTTGCAAATGTACTGCGCTGGAGGATTAGATTGCATTGTATTGCAACTGATGTATCGCGTATTGCAATCGAAAATCCAGCAATGCATCTGCGGTCCGGAATGTATTGCACGCCCCAAATCTATTGCAACCTACAAATCTATTGCACCACCCTCTTGTAGCTGGACCCCCTTTTGGGACAACCAGACCCAGGGCAGACGTTTCATCCCGAGTCGCTTTCCGAAAGCCCTGAGGCCCAGCGAGGGCCCCTGGAGGCCCAACGCGTTCAGAGACCTTCCGTCGTGTCTTCTGTTCTCCGCGCGAGCATGTCCAGGCCGTGGTCTCAGCTGGCCCTCCTCCGATGATCGACCGTCGGCTGCCCGTCCATGCAGGCGGCAAACGCAGGGAGAAACCGAGAGCAGTCAGAGAGTGACCAAAGACAGCGCTCAGCTCTGCTGGGCTCGGAGAGATGTCGCCCCCCCGCTCGCGACGGGTTCGCCCTCGGCGGGGGGGAGGAGCGTTCGATGCCTCCCAAATCGGGTCCGAGGAGATAAAACAAAAAGAAGATCGCACCGCGTCGCCGATGCATCGCCGATACATCCCCGATGCACCGGCAATCACCGGTGACGTCGGCGATGCATCGGCGCAGCCGGCGTGGAGGAAACCGGGCTCCGCATCCGGCCGCATCGCCGATGTATCGGCGAGGGGCGGCGCGACTCTCCGACCCCTTCCACTCGGACCCAACTTGGTTGGGAGGCATGGAAGCATTCTACGGGACCGCACCTGATGGCGAGTCGGGTGTGGCTCAGGTCGCTGTCTGCGCACGCGCCGAGCCCTTCCTCTTCTCAGCCATGCTGTCGATCTTGCGCTTGATCTCCATGAATATCTTGTCGGGGGGGGGGCAATGAGCATGGGCAGTGCGCGGGCAGCTCCAGTGAGCTGCTCTGCTCACGCCGAGACTGCCCCAAAACCCGTGCAGCCCACACCTTATGGGATGTACGGGTGTCCTTGACACGACGGAGAAACATAAGACTCGGTTGGGGGGAATTGAATCTGCCCAACGGGCAATCAGAGAAATGGCAGGATTTAGCCTGGAAGTTGACGCGAGCGCCCACTGCAAACACCCCACGAACACTGGACCGTTGAACATCAACCCACGACCGTCAGAACCTGAGGCAAGCCCGAAATGTGGCAAACACGAGTCTCGCGCTTCCCCGAGAATGGTGGGGCCACAACCGCTGGCAGGACCAGCTCTGCCCCCGAATGACGTCGGGGGAGGGAGGGAGGGAGGGGGAGGGGGCCGAGCAGGAGTCAGCGCATCGAGGAGCCCAGGGTCCGCGGACTGTGCACTGCTCGACTCGCTGCCTCCCGAGCGGAAGAAGCTCTGCCGGGGGGGGGGGGGGGGCCGAGCAGGAGGAGGAGCGGCAGTGCCACGAGAGGGGCAGGAGGAGCAGCACAGGGGCGCGGCAGCAGAAGGGAGAGAGGCGGGGAGAGAGGCGGGGGGGAAGGAGCAGAAGAGCACACGTCCACGAGCGTAAGCTTCCGAAGGTCCGCCTGGCCTCTGCGCGTCTTCACACCGCCCCGCACACAAAACAATGGAAACTCATTCTCTTGTCGCCGCCCCTCTTGACGCATTTGGGGCATCACCATTGCGGAAAGTCATGACATCTCCGCGGCACCCGCCGCACAAGAACGACGACGACGAGAGGAAGGCGGAGGTATTGTGAGCAACACCTTCGGCGAAGAACGCGTCGATCAGTGCTCTTGCCAACGTGCTCACATCTCCTCTGTCGTGCAGGGTAGGTAGCCTTGGAGCAGCTCTCCCCAGGAAAAGCACACACACAACATGATCCAACCGGCCCAACAATAGAGGGAAAGAATCTCCGCCGCGACGACGATTACGACTACGACTACGATACGACTACGATGACAACCACAACCATGGCTACGATTACGACTACAATCACGACCGCAATCACGATTGTAATCACGATTATAACCACGACTACAACCACAATCACTGATTCATATTGCAATTCGCACAAGCCGATGCTCACGCATCTTCTCGCGTGTAAGATAGCATAAAATGGATTATTCCCTCGGGAAAAAAGACCCCCCCAACATTATCCAGCCCACCCAGCCCGCCCACCAATAGAGGAAAGATCACCTCCGCCGCGACGACAACGACGACGACGACGACGAACGACGACGATAACGACCACGAAGAGGAGCAGGAGGAGGACGAGGAGGAGGCGGAGCAGGAGGAGGAGGAGGAGGAGAAGGAGGAGGAGGAGGAGAAGGGGTAGAGAAGAAGGAGGAGGAGGAAGAGGAGGAGGAGGAGGAGGAGAAGGAGGAGGACGTGTATGAGGAGGAGGAGCAGGAGGAGGGGCGGAGATAAATCCCCGCCAAAGCCAAGAGAAACAGGGGGTGCGATCAAAACTAAAGACCTTTACGTAGAGGTTTCGTCGGCGTGCTTACACCTTCGAAAATGGCCAAACAATCACATCAGCACGTAAGCATAAACTTTCGAATGTCCGCGCGGTTTTCCTTGACCGGCGATGGGCCCCCCTGCCAGGGGCGGCGCCGAAGGCCCTGCCAGGGGGATCCAGCGCCGACCTGAGATATCGGCGCTGACCTTTAAAAGTTTACGATTACGCGCCTATGCAACTGTTTGGTCATTCTTGAAGGGGGGGAGGCACACCGACGAATGGGTAGGCAGACGCCGCCAGAGAGGCGGCCAGCGCCTGCGAGGTAGCCGCCGCGACCCTGCTTCCTCCCGAGAAGAACCGTGGCCGCTTTGGCTCGAGATGACTAGCGGGCTGCTCCAACATGCTGTCTGCGCCGCAGCCTGGCGCCTTACCACGCCCATCCCAATCTGGGCGCGCCTTCCAGAACGGCACGGGTGGGATGCCGGGCAGGGCCGACTTCTCACATCCGTGCAGCTGCCGGGGCTAACACTGGAGCGCGCGAGTCAGGGCCCCGTAAACGGGGACTGTTTGAGAAACCAGGATGCTGTAGCGCCTCAGGGCCCCACCAGCGAAGACTGGCCGCGGCGCTGGCCGCTTCTGCACCTCGAGACTGCCGCGTCAAAGACAGGGGGACGCCCTCGGAGCCCACGGTCGCCGATCCTGTTTCCACTCCTCCGCGAGACCGCCGCCCTGCCGATCCTGGGCACGCCCACCCCGAGCCCTGCACCTGCGGAGACGCCCTCCTGGCCTGGCCAGGAAGCCACAGCACCGATGCCGTGTCCTGCCGTGGCGTGCGCGCGTGGCCTCATCGGTCCGCGCCTGCATCGCCTCTGCCGGTCTCTGGAGCGCGTCTCTTGGTGTTCGGCGATGACGGGCGTCATGGGGGGGGGGTGGCGGCGGGGGTATGACGTAACGCCCCCCCCCGCCGTGTGGCTCCGGCACCACAGCCGCGCCTGCGCGCATGACGCGACGACGACGACGACGACGCGAGCTTCATGTAGGTGGCGATCTGCCCCACTGCGCCTGTGTAGACCACAACGCTCGCGTGCACCACAGCGCGCGTGTACACCATAGCGCCTGCGTACACTGCAACAACCGTGTGCAACGCAGCGCCTGTGTACACCACAGTGCTTGCGTACACTACAGCGCCGGTGTACATGTGTACACCACAGCAACCACGTGCAACACAGCGCCTGTGTACACCACACAATGCTTGCGTGCACCGCAACGCCTGTGCACGCCACGCCGCCTGTCTACACCACAACATCCGCGTGCAACGCAGCGCTGGTGTACACCACAGTGCCTGCGTGCATAGGAAAGATGGAAGGAGCATGTATGTGAGGATCTGCTGCGGACAACTAAACGCCACGCCAGGAAAATGCTGATAATCGAATGCGACGTTCTTCCCCCCTCCCTCTTCCTCCACCTCCTCCTCCTCCTCCTGTTCCTCCTCCTTACGTACCCCCTGTCGTGCGGGTTGGCGCTACAGCGCACGTGCGCATCTCAGCGTGCACCGCGAATGTCTATTGAATCGGTCCATTTGGTTCTCGGACGGCCAATTTAGCTGGAGCCTCCTGGACGCAGATGGGAGGCGTTACGGCGGTGCGGGCGGACTCGGGAGGACTCGTAGATTCCAGCGGCGCTCCTTTGTCCATAAGGATTGTTTTGTTTTATTTTTCTGTGGAATCCACAAGCGCTCCATTTTGTCATAAGGATTCTTTCTAACATTCTATATGCAGCAATTGTGCTGCGTTGCACACGGTTGCTGCGGTGCACGCAGGCACCGTGGTGCACACGGGCACTGCAATGCACGCAAGCATTGTGGTGTACACTGGCGCTGTGATGCGCACGGCTGATGTGGTGTACGCAGGCGCTGTGGTGTACACCAGAGATGTTGTGCCTGCAGGCACGGTGGCACCAACTGACGCTGTGTTGCACGCGGTTGCTGTGGTGTACATACGCGGTGTGGTGTACACAGGCGCTGTGGTGCACGCAGGCACTGTGGTGTACACAGGCGTTGTGGTGCAGATCGCCACCTACATGCTGGTGCTACCCGTCCTTTCTGCCATTCCTGGGCATTCCCAGACGCCGCGGCGCGAAACGTGACGTCATCGACCCCCTCCACCCCCCCTGATGATTGCCGTCGTCGGCCCGGAACAAAAAACAGGCTCCAGCCGCGTCCGCGCGCAAGACGACGATGAGCGACGAACGACGAGCCACGAGGGACGACGCCACGAGCGACGACGACGACGACGACGACGACGACGACGACGACGACGACGACGACGACGACGACTGCGGACAAGACTCCTATGCGGATTCCTACGCGGACACATACGCGGATCCCAATGCGCACGGCGGCAGCGCCCGTGCCCAGAGCGCACTGGGGGGGGGGGGGGCGTTACGTCACAGGGGTGGGGGGGGGAGCGGGGGCCATGACGCCCGTCATGCCTCAAGCAAAAAGAAATGAGCTCCTGCGGCTCAGGCAGCCGCCAAGGGACGGGAGGACAGCAAAGGCGGGCGGTGAAAGCCAAGCGCAATGAATAGGATCTCTCCGAAAGGACGCTGAGAAAGAGCTTGCCAGAATTCGGTTGACATGCACGCTGGTGTTGCAGCCACAAGAAGGAAAAAAACATAGAGAGAGAGAGAGAGACGTAAACAAAGTGGTCTAGACTTCCGGCCCAGGAGTCCACGCTGATCCATGTTGAAAACAAAACGCGACGTCGGAAGAAGGGGTTCCACCTTTGTCTCCATCGGGCAAGCCGCTGGTTCCCCACGACGCTCCCCATCGCCGCCAGGGGGCGTTCAGCGCCGACCCGAGAAATCCGCGCGGATCTCCGAGAGTTCATGCTTACGCGATGTCTTGCTCCACCAGATCGGGGGGGCGCTGCAGGAATCGAAGGAGAGCAAGGCAGGCCACGATGGTCTCTCTCTCTCTCTCTTTCTCTCGGCAAGCCTGCGTTGCGAAGTCTCTGTCCGTATCAGTAACCTTTCCCTGCCCCTGCCTCTTGTCCGGGTGGTACAGGAGCATCTTCTTCTTCCATTCGCCCTCGAGAAAGGCACACACAGAGGAGAATCAGGAAGACATGCAGAAACCAATTCGACTGGAGAGGAAGACGACAGCAACGGACAGGAGGTTGGTTTGAAGGCGATCACCGAAGGCGTCGAATGTCAAAGAGGGGAAATGATGATCCGGAAGAGTGGTGCAATGTAAGGATGGCATGGGGAAGAGGATGACTAGTGGGCGGGGGCCTCCTCCTCCTCCTCCTCCTCCTCCTCCTCCTCCTCCTCCTCCTCCTCCTCCTCCTCCTCCTCCTCCTCCTCCTCCTCCCCCTCCCCCTCCCCCTCCCCCTCCCCCCCCCATCCCCCTCCCCTCCTCCTCCTCCTCCTCCTCCTCCTCCTCCTCCTCCTCCTCCTCCTCCTCCTCCTCCTCCCTCCTCCTCCCTCCTCCTCCCTCCTCCTCCCTCCTCCTCCCTCCTCCTCCCTCCTCCTCCTCCCTCCCTCCTCCCTCCTCCCTCCTCCCTCCTCCTCCTCCCTCCTCCTCCTCCTCCTCCTCTCTCCTCCTCCTCCTCCTCCTCCCTCCTCCTCCTCCTCCTCCTCCTCCTCCTCCTCCTCCTCCTCTCCTCCTCCTCCTCCCTCCTCCTCCCTCCTCCCTCCTCCCTCCTCCCTCCTCCCTCCTCCCTCCTCCCTCCCTCCTCCTCCCTCCTCCTCCTCCTCCTCCTCCGCCTCCTCCTCCTCCTCCTCCTCCTCTCCTCCTCCTCCCTCCTCCTCCCTCCTCCTCCCTCCCCTCCTCCTCCTCCTCCTCCTCCTCCTCCTCCTCCTCCTCCTCCTCCTCCTCCTCCTCCTCTCCTCCTCCTCCTCCCTCCTCCTCCTCCTCCTCCTCCTCCTCCTCCTCCTCCTCCGCCCTCCTCCCTCCTCCTCTCCTCCTCCTCCTCCTCCTCCTCCTCCTCCTCCTCCTCCTCCCCCATGCGTCTCAGAAAGGTGTTGACAAGGCGTCCCCGACCCAGCGTCCACCCAGCGACGGGCCCAGTCCGGACACGGCCCAGATCCGGCCCAGCGACCTGGCCCGTGGACTTGGGACTTGGCCTGGACATGTCCCACCATACCGCGGCATTCGCCGGGGTGTGAAACGACGGTGTCAGCAGGCAAACCAAGAGCTCTATACGAACCATCCTGCAATATACAATCGCATGCAACTGACGGTGGCCGAAACTTCGCATGCATCGGCACGTGTCGCTACTGCATGCGACGCTGCGGAGGGCGCTGTAGGTATGCAGGTTGTAAGAAGGGAGGGACAAGTCGAGTTCTAGAACTTTGTGAGACGGATGCTAGATGGAAGGATCGGAGGGGGCGAGTGTGAAGCAACACCGATTATTCCTAGGCTTGTCGCTTTCATGAGGTGGGGGGATGCTCGTGCGCGCAGAGCACCAAGCTCGGGCCCTCGGCCGAGAAGGTCCGGATCTGCAACAAGGCCTCACCGTCTACGACCGGGGCGCGCCGTCTCCTGTCCTCTGGCATCACGGTGCAGGTCCATATTTGCGCCTTTTCAAGCGATTGCACTATGGACAAGTTCGGGCCGAGGTAGGACGCCACCTTGGCGTCTTCATCGACGTTGGTGCAAGACAGCACGTACCGCTTCGACTCTGCACCGTCCGACGTGCCACGCAGCCGCCCAGCGTCCCGCCGTGCCAACGCCTTGCTGCCCACTGGCTTGAAGGTCCACAGATTGCCAGCTGTGGCGTCGAAGTTGTCCAAGTGCGCCCGGCGACCTAACACGCTCAGCGACTGCGGGAACTGCAACAAGGACACGCTCCTGGCGCGCAGGCAGGCCAGGTAGTACCCCTTGCTTTCGTCCACCATCAAGCGGCGCCCGCGGCAGGCGGGGCGGGGATGATCGGAGGAGCCAGGAGGTAGGAGGTAGGAGGAGGAGGAGGAGGAGGAGGAGGAGGAGGAGCGAACGAACCCCTAGGAGGAGGAGGAGGAGGAGGAGGAGGAGGAGGAGGAGGAGGAGGACGGCAGGCGGCTGGGGGCGCGGGCGGGAAGCGCTCTGCCGCAGCGGCGCGGGCGGCCAGAGCCCAGACACGTGCTTGAGCCAAAATGGCTACGGACGAGATGAAGGCAGGATGAGGAGGATGAGGATGAGGGTGAGGGCAATGAGCTGGGAGCGCTGAGCCCTCGCTGAATCGTCCGGGGCTCGTGTCAGTAGCGCTGAACCCTCAGGGGCTCATGCTACTCGAGCTGGGGGCGCCGAGCCCTCCGGGGCTCGTGCTCGTAGTGGCCCGGCGCCGAACCTTTCGGGGCTCGTGCTGTGGGTCTTTCCATATCCAGGTCTGTCCACGGTGGGCGAAAACCACGGCGCTGACCCCCTTGGGCTCGTGCCAGAAGTGCTGAACCTTCCGGGTCTCGTGCTACAAGCTGGGGGCCCTTCGGGGCTCGTGCTCTCAGTCACCTGGCGCTGAATATTCCGGGGCTCGTGTCATTCGCGCGGAACCTTCCATGGCTACCGCTACTTCAACTGGGGGCGCTGAACCCTCTGGTGCTCGTGCTCGCAGTCGCCCAGCGCTGAACGCTTCGGGGCGCGTGCCAGTAGCGCTGTACCCTTCGGGGCTCGTGCTACTCGAGCTGGAGGCGCTGAACCCTCCGGGGCTCGTGTTCGCACGGCGCGCGAACATGGTGGCGTTTCCGCCTCGGTGCCGTTTGCTGCACACATACTGCGGCACTCTTGTTGACTCTACACGTACACAACAAAACGCAGGCACGCCCATCCACTCGTTACCATCGCCTCTCATTTTGCTTGCCATAGATCACATGGGCACGCCACTGTTCGATACCCGAAGCAAGAGCAGAGCCACCTTTTCCAAGTGTCACAACGAGTAGCATCATGAACATCATCATCATCGTTTGGATGGGGTTGCATATGGCTCCCTGCCGTACTGGACCCGTTCACGGTGAGCCGACCCACGGTGAGGGACAACCCCGTCCCTCACCATGCTGCTCGGATGTCTGGACTCACGCGCGTGCGCGAGCAAGGCGCGGCCCTATGCGCACGTCGGGAGGCGACGGGGAAGGGGAGGGACGGAGAAGGGAAGCGAACGTCGGCCACGAAAGAGATGGGGATGGAAGGGAGGACGCGGCAGGCACGGGGGGCGGACCGCGATCTTTGCGTCCCCGCCCGCTTGCACCCCTCCTCCTCCTCCTTCCTCTCCTCCTCCTTCTGTCTGCTCCCTCCCTCTCTCCCTCCCTCCTTCCTTGCTTCCTCCCTCCGCCTCCTCCTCGTCGTCGTCGTGGTGGTCGTCTTTTTCCTTCTCCTCCTCATCCTTCCGTTGCCTCCCTCTCTCCCCCTTGCCCCCCCCTTCCCCCGATCCCTCCCTTCCTGCCCTCCCTGCTGCTCCCACTTCCTCCGCTCGCCGCCCCAGCCGTCCTCGCTCCCGACTCCGTCACAGATCTCCCCATCCCCCACATTCCTGATCCACTCCATCCCGCGAGTCTTCACGTCAATCCCCCTTCCTCAGCCCCCATTCAGCACTCCTCCGTGCTTGCTCCTGCTTTCTAGTGCCCCTCCCCCGTCGGAACCGATCTTGAGCTCATCTTGGCCCGTCTTTGGGCCGTCTTGGAGGCATCGTGAGACCAGCCATCGATTGCTACTGGCCGAACACCTGAACCTCCGGACCGGCCTCGGCCCTGGCCCGGCCCAGACCCAGCCCGGACCCAGCGCGGACCAAACACAACCTGGACCCGGCCCAGATCCGGCATCCCGGCCCGGCCCGCCGGACCTGGCCTGGACCCAGCTCGGACCCGGCGCGGACCAGGCGTGCGCCTTCCCCGCCCCGGCCCTTGTCAAAACCGCTCTCCTGCATCACATCCTCGCCGTCGCCCCCCTCATCGTCCTCCTCCTTCACCTCATCCTCCCCCCTGCACCTGCATCCCTCGTTCACTCCTCCCTCATCCACTCTGGAGGAGGACGCGGGAGAGGAGGAGGAGGGGGAGGAGGAGAAGGAGGAGGAGGAGGAAGAGGAGGAGGAGGAGGAGGACGAGCAGGAGGAGGATGAGGAGGAAAAGCAGGAGGGCGAGACGATGAACAAGTACAGTCGGCCCGTATCAGAAGGATGCGCGAAAGGATACAAGGGCCTTGGACGCCCAATTCGAAGCTGTTCGAGCGGATCGCGGCCAACGAAAGTGGCCAAGGATGGACCGAGGAGGCAAGGATGCAAGGGTACCCTTGGGAAGGATGCCCATCCTTATTACTAATGCGGATTGGCTGTACACAAAAAGTTCTCCTCTTCCGCCTCCTCCTCCTCCTCCTCCTCCTCCCCTCGTCCCCCTCCTCCTCCTCCTCCTCCACCTCCTCCTCCTCCTCCTCCTCCTCCTCCTCCTCCTCCTCCTCCTCCTCCTCTCCTCCCTCCTCCTCCTCCTCCTCCTCCTCCTCCTCCTCCTCCTCCTCCTCCTCCTCCTCCTCCTCCTCTCCTCTCCTCCCTCTCCTCTTCTCCTCCTCCTCCTCTTCCTCCTCCTCCTCCTCCTCCTCCTCCTCTCCTCCTCCTCCTTCTCCTCCCCCTCCTCCCCTTTCTCCCCCTCCTCCCGCATCCGCCCCTCTCCCTCCCTCATCCATCCCTTCTCTCCCTCCGTCATCCTGCCATCCTCCCGCCATCGTCCGTCGCCGCCATCGTCCTCGCCTTCTTCAGCCGCCGCCGTCGTCGGCCGCCGCCTCCGTCAGCCGCCACAGCCCCAGACATCCTCCGATCCGATCGCTTCGGCCCGCGGCCCCAGCGCGCCTGACCCCTTCCTCGGGGGTGCGCCTGGGATCCGTCCTTGGCGGCCCCGGGGGACCCGACGAGGGGCCCCAGAGCTTGAAAACCCCCAAAAAACATGCCGTCTGAGCTCTATGGGGCCTGCCGCCGCCGTCGGTCGTCCGCCGCCGCGGCCGTCCGACGGCGGAGGGCGGCTCCGACCGCCCCCCCCCCCCCGGCGGGGGGCGCCCGCTGCTGCGGGACGGGCAGCTTCGCCACCTCGGCGGCGAGGCTCCGCACCCTGCCGCCGGGGAGGGCCCCGCGGGGGGGGCGGGCCCCGTGGGGCTCGAGGGCCGAGGCTCGAGGCTCGAGGTCTGGATCGATCTGCGGATGGCTCGAGGTCTGCTCGATGGATCGAGGATCGAAGCTCGAGGATCGAGGCCTGATCGAGGTTTGATCGAGCGATGGACGACGACGTTCGACGGTGTCAAGCACGGCCGGGCTGGGCGCTCATGTGCCGCCCCCGCCAGCGAGGGAGGTCCCTCCTCCCTCCCAGGGGCAGGATCGACCCCGAGATCTGGGCGTTGCCATCTCTGTGTCCTTTTTCCTACGTTCGGGCGTTGTCGCCCGGGGCACGGGGCCCCATGACACATCGACCCGGCTCGGGAACAAAATGCCGCAGGAAGAGGGGGTCCAGGGCTCCGGTCGTGATTCGCCGCGGTATTGCAGTTTGTCCGCAGCGTCCGATCTCGGGGGGTCGGGAGCGGCCAAGAGGGGGGTGTCCAAGAGGGGGGGGTGCAAATCATGACCGGCGGCATGTGCGCGGCCCAGCGGGGGGCCAGGAACGTAATGAAATAAGAAGAGGCGCCATGAAATCTGGGGAAATATCATGGCCCACGCCATGATATCCCCCCCCCCCTAGTCATCACCCCCCTCTTTGCCGCCCCCGAGGGGGGGGGGGCAGGCCAGGGAGGAGGGTCGAGGACCGGGCGGGCAGCGGGGCTGGTTATCGAGGGGATGTGTCGAGAACAGGGGGCCGAGGGCCGAGGGTCGAGGACCGAGGGTCGAGGAGGGGATCGACGAGGAGGATCGAGGATCTGGGATCGAGCAGGGGGGGAGAACGAAGACGAGGATCAAGACAGAGGAGGAAGAGGAGGAGGGGAGGGAGAGAGGAGGAGAGGGGAGGAGGAGGAGGAGGAGAGGAGAGGAGGAGGAGAGGAGGAAGGGAGGAGGGAAGGAAGGGAAGGAGAGGGGAGGAGGGAGAGGAAGATCAAGACAGAGGAGGAAGAGGAGGAGGGGGAGGAGGAGGAGGAGGAGGAGGAGGAGGAGGAGAACCAGTGTAAACCCAAGAATAGTTCAACAATGTTGGAATAATGAGCCCTCCCTCCAAGCTCCCTCTTCGTGGGCCCCTCAACGGTTCATTTCCACTGAGGGAACTGCCTCGTTGAAAGACACCCATGCGAAGACCCTGAAGCATGCCAAAACATTGCTCGGGATTCCCACGCCACGGATCAACCTGACTGTTGCGTCTTGAGGATCCCGAACCGTGCCGGAACGCCATTTCTGGGACTTCAACACCGTGAACCAACGGAACTGTTGCACAATCATAATCTTGAAGGAGGAGCATTGAGAAGGAGGCGGGCGGCCGCCAAAAGCTCCCGCACTGGATCCATACTTCATGCGACCAAAAACACACCACACATTTCCCGTACTTGTCAGAGCGGGGATTGGACGAGGGGGGACCTCGACTCTTGGGTCTCTCCTCAGCTGCCGGGGGGGGGGGGGGCACCCCCTCGTCGGCACGGCCGGATCTCCTCGAAGTCCTGGCCGGCCCGAGCCAGACTTCGTGGCGACTCTCGCACAGGTCGGGCGGAAGGCTCTGCGCAGCGGGCGGCCTCCTCCTCGTCCTCCTCCTCCTCCTCCTCGAGCCCTCCTCTTCCTCGACGCCCTCCTCCTCCTCGAGCCCTCCTCCTCCTCCTCGAGCCCTCCTCCTCCTCCTCCTCCTCGAGCCCTCCTCCTCCTCCTCGAGCCCTCCTCCTCCTCCTCCTCCTCCTCCTCCTCCTCCTCCTGGTATGTCAACAGGAAGCTGCTCCGAAAATGGCGCGGCCCAACTGGGGCAGCGACCAGGCCCGACCCGAGGGGGTCGTCACCAAGAAGGGCCCCGAACGGAGGAACCATCGCGCAGCACCCCGCCAATTGCGGACAAGCGTGAATGGGCGGTCGAGGGGGTGCGTCGGGGGTGCGTCGCGGGTGAGTCGCGGGGGGGTCGTGGGGGGGGGACGACCAAAATCACAACGACGACAACAACAACAGCAACAACAGCAACAACAACAACAACAACGACAACAACAACAACAACAACAACAACAACAACAACACCAACACCACCAACAACAACAACAACAACAACAACGACAACAACAGCAACAACAACAACAACGACAACATCAACGATAACAACAACAACAACAACAACAACAACAACAACAACAACAACAACAACAACAACAACAACAATTACTAGCACGTGGGGACACTCCGTTCTCACCAGTGCCAGGGTTTTCATAGGAGGCGGGCAATACCCCCACTTTGTGGGGGGGCCGGTTCAAGCTCTACCAAATTTCCAAACGACTCTTCGCCACCACCCACACCCAGCTTCCCGCCCTATGACGTTCGGACACTTCACTTCGTGGCATGCGGACGACCGTGGCTACTATTCAGGGCCCCGCGGCCGACGACGACGGCGTGCGCGCGCGAAGAAAAAACGAATGTGTCCCGCATGGTATTATTTGACAGGGATGATGGCCCTGGCAGGTGCGCAACCGTTGTCGCAGAAGTTCGAAAAAGTTGCTCGCAAAAGCCCGTTTGACAGAAATGTTTAAAAAGTGTTGGGTTTCCTACGAATCCGCAAGAGCGCGCGGGATGAGATTTTGACAATTTTTTGTTGAAAAACCATTGGTTTTTTGATGTTTTTATGTTAAAATCGCTCCGAACACTAAGGTTTTGGAAGGATTTCGTCTTGCGCGCGCGAATGTCCACTTTACCTTATTTTTTGCAAGGGATTCTTGAAATTTGATTATATTAGAACAAGAAATGTCATTTTCTATTGTTTTTTGCAAGGGAAAGCGGATTACAACAAAACAACCGGATCCTGTACACACCCTCTTTTCTGAGGCTTCCTCACGAAAATGATGAAAATGTAGCTGCGGCCTAGGCGGCGCAGGGGGGGCGCGCACCAGGGGGCCCAACAATAATTATTCTTTAGAATAAATAATGTTCAACAACAACAACAACAACAACAGCAGCAACAACAACAACAACAATCATATTAAGGCTGATCGCTCTTATATGCGCGCGCGTCACTCAATATGTAAATCCCAAACCCTCGATACCCACCCTCTTCGTCTTCGGTCATACCCCTTTGGGGGTATATCTTTTTTACTCGCCACGTGTAGTTGGCGCAGCCCCTAAAACAGGAAGAACAGGGGGAAGGAGGAAGGGAGAGCGAGGAGGAAAAGAGTGGGGGGAGGGAGGGAGGAGGGAAGGGGCAAGGGGGGGAGGATGGATGGAGGACGAAAGAGGTTAGCAGGAGGGGAGGGGGGCACAAGAGGAGGTAAACAAACGGACGAACCAGACAGACGGGTCGAGCGGCGGACTCTGAGGGGCGAGTCGGGCTGGCGGGGCGGGCGGACGCCAACGGACGGGTCGGGCGGCGGACCCTCGCTGGCGGGTCGGGCGGGCGGTGGCTTAAAGCGGGCGGGCGAGATGCCAAGAGAGCGAACGGGCGGGCTGTAACAGGCGGATCGGGCGGGCGAAACCTGGCGGGCGGGTGACTAAAGGGTGAATCCTGAATGAATCACGAGGCACACCCTCGATACCCGCCCTCTTAGTATTCGAACGTACCCCCTTTAGGGGGATTATTTCTCTTTGGAAGGGCGGGCGGAGGGACGAGGGAGGAGGGAAGGGAGCAGGGAGGGACGAGGGAGGAGGGAAGATGCTAGGAGGGACGGGACGCGGAGGGGGGAGGACGATTTAGAGGGAGAGAGAGAGAGAGAGAGGGAGAGAAAGAGAGAGGGGGGAGGAATGGAGGGAGGAGGGAGTTTGGAGGAGGGACGAGGAAGGAGAGAGGAGAAACAGGAGGGAGGAGGGAGGAGGCAGGAGAGGGCGGGGGTCCGGAGTATTTTATAAGTCTCAGGCGGGAGCGCCTCCGCCTGAGTAAACTGCGAGGAAGTCCCAGGCGGGGGCGGGGGTCCTGAGTAAATTTGGAGGAAGTATCAGGCGGGAGCCGTTGTTGTTGTTGTCCGGGGGGCCAACAACGCAGTTTGATGCCCACGACTTTCCCTGATAAAAAACAGGGTGCGAGCCCCGGAAGGGGCACTTCAATTGAAAAAATACAATGTCCGCCGGAGGGGGGGGATCAACAATAATTATTCTTCAGTAATTAGAATTCAACAACAACAACAACAACAACAACAACAACAACAACAACAACAACAACAGCAGCAGCAGCAGCAGCAGCAACAACAACAGCAACGAAAACACCAACACCAACACCAACAACAATAGCAACGACAACAACAGCGCCAACAACAACAATAGCAGCAGCAATGGCAACAACACCAACAACAAATAACACACAACACTCAAAACAACCAGGCAAACAAACAAGCAATCAAACAAACATCAAGCAAACACACAAACAAACAAGTAGTCATACACATAACGAACCAGCCAACCAAACAAACAACAACAACACCAAGAAACAACACACAACAAGCAAGCATCATCTGGGCCTCGGAGTCCCACTTCGCCCACGCACACACAGGGACAGTGTAACACCGTTCGGCGTCCCTCGCTCATGCTCATCCTGGGGGGCCCGGCCCCGCGTCGCGAAAACAAAGACAGTGACGTCGGATGGCTGGGCCCCCTCGTCCTGCAAGAGCCCCGATGGCAGAGCACTCCCGGGGTGGAGAGCCCAGCCGCGAAGAACGCGAGGCTGCCCCTCCCGAGCCAGAGCTGTCCTTGCCCCTCGCGCCAGCGGTGAGGCGCTCGACTCCTCGCCCCCCAGTGGCCGATCCTGACCCCTGGACACCAAAAAAAAGAGCCGACGCCCCACTCACACTCCTGGAGCTCCTCCTACACGTGCGCGATGCGGTGCGCGCAGACGCTTGCTTTGCTCTGCATCTTCCTCCCGTTGCTCTCTTACTCATGGCCCCCGACGCCCCACTCTCACTCCCGCCGCCCTCCCGCCCAGGAGGAGGAGGAGGAGGAGGAGAAGGAGGAGGGAGGAGGGAGGAGGGAGAAGGGAGGAGGGAGGAGGAGAGGAGGAGGGAGGAGGAGGGAGGAGAGGCGGAGGAGGAGGAGGAGGAGGAGGAGGGAGGAGGAAGGAGGAGGAGGAGGCACCCCGCCCACCTTCTGGCGGCGGCCCAACCGCCGTTCTGCCTCCGCCGGCTCCAAGAGGGCCGACGCCCCGTGCCTCCCACCCGGACGGGGATCCCTTTGCCGTTCGCTGCCCAGGGGGCAGCGTGCGCAGAACTCCGAGGCTCTCCTCGGCGCGTCGAGGGTGTCCTGATGGACGCCGCTGCCCTTTCCAGGGGCGCTCCGTGTGCTTGCTCCCTGTGGCCTGCTCTATCCTCCCTCGTTACCCTCCCCCTCCTCCTCCTCCTCCTCCTCCTCCTCCTCCTCCTCCTCCTCCTCATCGTCATCATCGTCAGCATCATCACCCTCTTCCTACTTCTGCCCTCCAGCGCCGCCGACTCGGAAGGCGGACACGGGGCAAATGCATGGTCATACTTCTCTGTGAGACCGCTGATTTCTGTACGACGCCAGAGCTTCAAGTGGGAGTCACGCCTAAAGCGGAGCATGGGGGCCCACGTCAACACGAGCGGACAGGCCAACCCCACTCCTCTTTGTACAATAGGCGGGTAAACATGCACAGAGCACTTAAACATAATGGCCGGCATGCCAAATCATTCAGCCGTTCAAGAACTCGCCTTTGCAGTCGCCGCATCCGGGGCCGCGCTCTCCTCGGGCTTCGGCAGTTTGACCCACTTGTCCACCTCGATTACGCCCCCTCCGACAGTGGAACCATTCAGTGTGGCAACAGCTTTAGCTGCTTCCTCGGCGGTGGCATATACCACAGCCGCGGTGCCTTTTCCCTTTCCGGCGAAGACCTCCACCCATTTTGTCTTCCCAGCCTGCTCCATGTGAGTCTGCAGCTCCTTCCACTTCAGTGACTCGGGAATCCCCCCGACCCACACCTTGAGCTCGGGGTCGCCCCTCAGCATCTCCTTGCCCCTGTCCTTGCCTTTGTGGCCCTTGCCAAAACCTTTTCCACAATATCCACCGTAACCATAACCTGGTGGAAACCACCCAGCATAGCCGTAGCCGTAGCCGTAACTCATGGCTGAGGTGGAGGAAGTAGCGTCCAACTGATCACGAACATGGCTTGAGCCAGAAAAAGGCTACAGAACCCAAGCGTAGCACACTGGAGGCTCAGAATAAGAGGGGTATATCCCCAAGAGAAAACCATTTGACGTCCTCAAACACTGCAACGACGCAAGGACCCTTATCATATGATTGGATCCTGGACTCCGGCGGGCGAGTGATCATGAGGATGGCGGCGGCTGATGACGAGGTTGTCGACAACGGCGAAAACTATAACTTTGACGATGACGATGATGCTGATGGTGATGGTGCTGATGATGATGCTGCTGATGATGATACTTGTGGTGATGCTAACGATGATGGCTGACGATGATGATGACGACGACAACGACGATGATGACGACGACGACGAGAACGAAGACGACGACGACGATGAGGTGATGAGGATAACGCTGGTGCTGGTGAGGCCGATGAAGAAGTGTGCGCGCATTATCCCATCAGCCCCTTGGGCTAAGGTGGTCTAGCAAGTTCTTTCTTTCCTCTTCCAAAGCCCTGTTCTCTTATGGGAAGGGGGTACCCCCTCCCCTCCCTGAGGTGTTTCGGCGGGGGCCGCGAGGTGTCAGAGGGTCCTTCTTCCCCCAAGATGGCTTCAAGAGGGCCTCCGATGCTCCAAGATGGCCTCCACGGCGGCTCAAGAGAGCCGAAGATGGCTCAAGATAGCTTCCGACATACCTCCAAGAGGCCCGACGAGGACCACAAGACGGCTCCAACTGCGCTCGGAGCCCCCTGAGGACCCTAATCCCCAAGAGGCCTCAATCCTTCAGCCTATGTCCCGCTTTCGGGGGGGGGGCCTGGTTTCGCTCTGGAGGAGCGGGGGGGGGCCGTGTCGAGCCTTCGGGGGACGGGTGGAGGCCGCAGGGCCACATGGATGGGGCCGCGGCCGGAGCCGGGGCTCGGGGCCGTGGCCTGGGGCCGGAGCCCGGGGCCGGGACCAGGTGGGGCCGGAGCTGGGGCCGGGGCCAGGGCCGGGGCCGAAGCGGGGGCCGGGGGCCAGCCAGGGCCGGGGGGGCTGGCAGGGCCAGAGCCTGGGCCAGGGCCAGGGCCGGAGCAGACGGACACGACACAAACATCCCATTGAACACATCATGCTTAAGGCAACTGCCAACAGCCATCATCCTCCTCCCCCTCCTCCCCCTCCTCCTCCTCCTCCTCCTCCTCCTCCTCCTCCTCCTCATTTTCCCTCTGCTCCTCCTCCTCCCCCCTTATCCTCCCTCATGCCTCCTCAAGACAAGTTCACAAACTATTCAACAGGACTGACAGGACGAGTTCGCACGGAGCGTCCCAGAGCGTCCCGGATCGGCGGCACGGCCACGAGGCCTCTATACTAGCTTCCTCGTTGGGGTCCCCGCTGGCAGGTATGCTCTTCATTGAAGGGAAATGTGTAGAGCAAACGCTTTGTGCATCGTGAAACGCAAGCCAGCGCGCAAAGCAGGCACGGATGCGCGCCAGCCGAAAGCCTGGAACCGTGTTGCCATATAGTGGGAGCGCGCACGGTCGGGATCGTGTGCTTAGCGTGTCGCGGCGGCGGCCCCCGCGACACGCTATGCCTTGCAAACGGATAGCGTGCCGCTCCGCTTCGCGGGGTGGGAGGCTTGGAACAATTAGCTCGGCACGTGGACGCCGTGGATAGCGTGTTGCGCCGAGGCGTGCCAAGCCAGAATCGGTGCAGCGAGACGCGAATCCAAAATCCCAGACCCCCGACGTCATGATTTTTTCACAACGTCGACCCCAAGAGGTCTGGACCTTCCCCAGAACCCGTTGATCATCCCAAGTAGTTTTTTTTACGCTCCCGAGGCCCAGCAGGGGCCCCTCATGGAGGCCGACCCTAGCGAAAAACCTCCCGCCGTGTTTTCTTTACAGCGCGCGGATGTCTGGGACTCCCGACCGTCTTCTACTTCCGCCAGCTTCCACCGACCTTCCGCCAGTGCCCGGCGGAGGCGTCGCCCCGGCCGCGCATTCCTTCCGCCGCCCATGCGGCCGGCCTTGCGCCCCCCCCCCCCCGCCGATGCAGAGAGGCTATCTCCCCGACCCCTGGCAGGCGGGGCGCCCCCCTGGAAAGAGGCGCCCAGGGGTGGCCCCACGACTCGGGCGTGGCATGCGCCGCCTCGACTTCTCGAGCCGCGCCCCCCTGGCCCTCTCGAACTCGTCCCGAGGGCCAGGCTTCCGTCCCCAATCAGTTCTGACGGCCCCAACGCCCGAAACTGGCCTCCGGCCGCTTTAGGGAGGAGGAGGAGGAGGAAGAGGAGGAGGAGGAGGAGGAGGAGGAGGAGGAGGACAAGGAGGAGGAGGAGGAGGAGGAGGAGGAGGAGGAGGAGAGGAGGAGGGGGGAGGAGGAGGAGGGAGGAGGAGGAGGAGGAGGAGGAGGAGGAGGAAGAAGAAGAAGAAGAAGAAGAAGAGGGAGGAGCAGGAGGAGGCGGAGGAGGAGGAGGAGGAGGAGTTTGTCCGAGGCGCCAGAAAGTCCAGGGACGCGGCCCGCACGCGGGGCCTATTAGACGTGCTCCCAGGCACGCCCAGAGGCCCCCAAACGGCCTCTCGGGAAGCCCCTCCGCCGCGGAGCGCCGCGACCCCCCGGCGGGCCCGCCGTCCGCCCGAGGCGCTGGGCGTGGCGCGCGCGCGACTGCCGATCATCAGCGCACGCCCCAGACCTCCTGCGTCGTACTGACTACCTACCAGACCACCCCAACCCAACCCGAAGACCCGAATTTCGGGTTGGGGGGGGTATGGGCTCCATACGTGTTTTTTCGATGTTCCCGGACCCCCCCCCCCACTGGAAATCGAGTGTAAATCTGAGCCTTCGGGTTGGGTTGGGGTGGTTTGGTGGGTGGTGACGTACTGTGGAGCGACGGGCGGCGTGGGCCCTGACGCCCAGAGGCGGCCTCGCGTCCGGGGGCGGATGTCTGTCGGGTGGGCCCCCCCCGAGAGGCCCGAGGAGCGGCCCGCCGAGGCCGAGAGCAAGGCGAGACGCCCGTCCATGACTGTTTTCGAGGTCTGGACATCCTCCTCCTCCTCCTCCTCCTCCTCCTCCTCCTCCTCCTCCTCCTCCCTCTTCTTCTTCTTTCTCCTCCTCCTCCTCCTCCTTCCTCTTCTTCTTCTTTCTCCTCCTCCTCCTCCTCATCCGCCTCCTTTCTCTTGGAGACTGGCAGAAAACACGGCAGTCGGCACAAAGTGTAATGGAAGAGATGGGCTTTCAAAAATCATGCGCCGAGCGATCCTTGATGAAGTACGAGCGGAACGTATTCAGGAAACCCATTCTATGGCGCGTCTCCCGCACCATTCCAGAAACGTTCTCCCAGACTTCTCCCCGAGCGCGTCACGACACGGAAGCTCGAGGCGGACCCAGCCGCGGCGACGAGGAACCCCTCCAGGAGGGCCCGAACAAGGATGCCAGAAAAAGGAACAGCACGCCGTCTGGCGCGCCTGAAGGGGTCCGAAGGAGAGTGCAGTCAAGCGTCAAGCTAATGCCATCAGGACGGCGAAATGAAAAGAGAAGCCCCGTTTAGACCCCCCCCAAAACAATGCCTGGGCGCACGAGGAGCGCAAGCGGAACAAGCATGGAAGGACTTACGGACTGGGTGGGACGGAAGGGGGGACAGCAAAGGGCGGGGGGCTCAGCGAATCAGCTCAGGTAGCTGATTTTACCGGCGCCTCTTGGCGCCGACGACGGCGGCGGCATCGGCGCCGACGTCGGCAGCAGAGGCGTCCGAAATGGATTCCGAGTCGATGGGATCCGATGGTAGCGCCAACGTGACCGATGCATATCCGCTGTCAGCGATGCATCGTTGCCGTCGGCGTGGAGAAAATCGGGCTCCACATTGCGCCGCATCGCCGATGCAGCGGCGATAGGGCACGATCGTCCCACCTCATCTGCGAGAGCCCCATGCGGGAGGCATACGGTCCGGAATTCTTGCTTTGCGTGTCTGGACATGGGTACCCATCGGTCGGGTACCCATCGGTCGGTCGTGTCTTGAGACGCTGACTCTTTGAGGCTGGGACATGGGTACCCATCGGTCGGGAGAAGTAGGTAGAAACATGAAGTACGAAGGCGTTGACAGTACATTGGGTTCCGTCCGCCCCCCTAGGAGGACAGAACAGGTGAAGCCACCCGACCCTTGAAGCAGGAAGGCGCCTCAAGCGGAAGGGAACCCGAGAGCCCCCAAACACCCGCCTTCGACGACCGATAGGGGAGTGTGCCACGCCGAGGCGTGGAGAGCCAGAACCGGCGGCGCGGCACGCTGCGCCAAAGCCCCTGGCCGCAGAGAGCCTCCTGGCGCGGATACGGCGGCGGCAGCGTCGGCGCCCGCCGGGCGGCAGCGAGCCGCCGTCGGCGGCACACCGCCGGGCGGCAGCGGGGCCTGTCGGCCGCCTGCTGCGACAGGCGCGGGGCCTGCGCGCCCCGCGGCAGCGCGGGCGGCGAGGGCGGCGCGCTCGGCGCCCCGAGCCGCCTGCGGGCGCGGCGCGGCGGTCGGCGGCGGCTGCGGCGGCCAGCGCTGGGTCGGGCAGGCCCTCCTGCTGAGCAGGGACCGACCGTCCCGGCATTTCTATAGGCCTACTGAACAATGTTCTAAGAGCCTTTGGTGGTCTGCACGAAGTGTTCTTGGAACATTTCTGGCTGGGACGGTCTTGTTGTAGCACATCGGGCTTATGTTCTAAGAAGAGAAACAATGTTCTTAGAACGTAAGCCCGATGTGCTAAAACAAGACCGTCCCAGCCAGAAATGCTCGAAGAACATCTCGTGCAGACCACAAAAGGCTCTTAGAACATTGTTTAGTAGGCCTATAGGCACGCCAGGACGCTTCGCCACTGCTTGATGCAGGCGGTTTCTGGAAGAACAACGAAAAATGGTCCCAGCATACCCCCAAACAGAATCGAAAACAGATCGTCCCCCGACTATTTTTGGACTCTTTTTGAAGATCCCCCCTGTGGAGGGACATGCCCGACATCTCGGGGGCGGCCAAGAGGGGGGCGTCCAAGAGGGGGGAGCTCAAATCATGGCCGGCGGCACTTGCGCGGCCCAAGGGGGGGGGGGCCAGGGACGCAGTGAAATAAGAAGAGACGCCATGAAATCTAGGGAAGTCTCATGGCCCGCGCCATGATATCCCCCCCCTGGCTCCGGATCCGCCCTACTTTGGGGAAATTCGTAAGTGGGGCTTGGAATTCCCGCCTTACTTTTCAAGCCCCGCTGATGCCAACTTCCGCCCTGCTTTTCTGTCGCTGTTTCTGTGGATTGTTCCGCCCTATATTTTGTGTTGGCTGCAGCAATTTTTCCGCCCCACTTCTTCGGCCTCTTATAAGTGGATTTCCGATGCAATTTCAAGTTGGAAAATTATCCCGGCAAAGCAACCTAACAGCGATGTGCAGGAGCATATCTGGAAGCATTCCCCTTAAGATTCAGAGGAGAATCCAGTTGTAGAATTTTGCTGCTCTCGAAAAAAAGCCAAAGCAGGGCGGGCCCGGAGTCAGGGCCCCCCTTGTCGTCCCCCCCCCCTCTGCCGCCCCCGAAACCTTCGGGCCAGCGCGAGGACGGCTAAGGAGAGCCCCGGCGGTCTCCGGCGAGGCGCTAACCGCCGCTCCCTTCCCCGGGCTCGCCTGCCTCGAGCGGTCGGCCCCCCGGGGGCCCTGCTGCGTCGGGCCACGGAGGGGGGGGGGGGGACGGTCCAGAGGCGGGCGGAGGAGGAGGAGGAGGAGGAGGAGGCGGGCGGAGGAGGAGGAGGAGGAGAGGAGGAGGAGGGAGGAGGAGGAGGAGGAGGAGGAGAAGGAGGAGGAGGGGGAGGAGGCGAGGAGGAGGAGGAGGAGGAGGGAGGAGGAGAGGAGGAGGAGGAGGAGGAGGAGGAGGAGGAGGAGAGAGGAGGATGGAGGAGGGAGGAGGAGGAGGAGGAGGAGGAGGGAGGAGGAGAGGAGGAGGAGGAGGAGGAGAGGAGGAGGAGGGAGGAGGAGAGGAGGAGGAGGAGGAGGAGGAGGAGACGAGGAGACGAGGAGGAGGAGGAGGACGAGGAGGAGGAGGAGGAGGTTCAGGAAAAGGAGGAGGGGGAGACGGGCAGAGGCGGGCCAGGGGGCGCAAAAATATGTGACGCACAGAGACATACCAGTACTATATGCCCGCCTCGGGAGGCGCGCGCCCGGCCCGAACATGTGGTATACCCATCTTGTAGCGTATCGTTTCCCGAGCGGTGTGGCCAGAAAACACCCACTACGACGCATATACTGCAAGATTTCTCGGTGCGCGCGTCGCCCCTGGGGGGCGACGCACATACTATATAAGTATATTGGAGTGACGCCGAAAAATACGCGGAGGCACGGGATCGGGACTGCTGTGACCGCGTTTTTCTTTTTACACATTGTTCTTCAACCCTGAGGCATCGAACAATAACGGATCTCCCTATCCCTCAACTCCGACTCGCGCTGGAGCTTCCAGGAGCTCTCCAAAAGTACCCGGGCATCTCAGAATGTTGAGCGTTCGGAGACGCATCGACTTACGCAGATGTACCTCGAATTGTCTGGCTTGATCCCCGGAAGTCGATTGGCGAAACATTGTTAGCTCCTCAGGGACCAGACACCCCTCGCGCGGTGAACGAATCGCAAGTTCTGCCTCACCGAGCGGTGTCACCCAGATTCGGGCCCTGGGGTTCTCGGAGGTCGATCCAGCTCGAGGCGACGTGCCGCAGGAGAAGGGGCCTGGGGCTCCGACGGAGATGTTTGACGACGGTGCTGCCATGTTGTCGCGACGTCGGATCTCAGGAGAGGAGGACGTCGCCAGCGGCGGCGAGTACGAGGGCCGAGGGAGAAAGCAAGGGCGCGGGCGGCGAGGGCGGCGGCGGCGGCGGTGACGGCGGCGGTGGCTCGAGGGCGAGGGCGACGGCGAAGGCGACAACGGCGGAAGGGCGGAGGAGCGAACGACGACACTGGTCCCTCCTCCTGAGTCGCTCCCTCCTCCCCCCTCTTGTACGCCCGCGGGAGCTCACGAGAGATGAGGGGGAGGAGGAGGGAGAGGGGGAGGAAGTGTAGGGCAAGGGAAGACCGTGCTCTGTGGTCACCACGAAGACGATACAGCTCGTAATTTCCTCCAGCGCCAAGCCTAGAGACAGCATGAGGAAATATGGAAACATACAGACCCAAGAGGTAAAACAAAAATCCACTGCCGGAGACAGGCGCGGAGTTATCCTGTCAGCGCTGGGCCCCTTGGCGCGTAAGGCGCGCCAAGGGCAGCGCCAGAGGTCCAACGCCGACCCAAGAGATACAGTGTGTTATGTCGATGACGTATGGTTCTTCGAAGGCAGCCGCGGCGGCAGGCGGCAAGCGGCGGCCGCCCACCCCGTCCCGGGGCGTGCGCTGCACACGCCCGTCGCCGCGCTGTACTTGACATCGCACTCGGGCTGGTACACGGGCTTGAAGAGCGGGCACCTCCCCAGCTGAGATTCATGAGCGCGGAAGGCAGGCTGGATCTGCTCGTGCTCTGGAGCAGTCGTTGACTCGTTGACGAGCCTCCCTGCCGTCGCTCCATATCCTCTACGCGCCCACGTCTCTTCACACCTCCTCGCCATAGAAGAGCCCGAGGTATCCTCTTCCCCGGGGCCGCAGAACAAACTCCTGATAATACAACACACCTTATGACTGTCTCGCAAGGTACACGCGACACATGAGATAAAAAAGCCCGGACAAAAGAATCACTGGGGTGCACTCTCCGAATGGGTCCCCGAGCCGTCGGGGAATCATATATTCCCCGGGGCACCTGCTGGCAGGGTGGCTTCTTGTTCGATGCGAAGGGGACGAACAATGACATAAACATAACAACTCGGAGGTCCGTGCGGATTGCTCGGACCGGCGCTGGGCCCCCCTCCCTGGCGCGCGGAGCGCGCCATGGGCGGCGCCGGAAGCGCCGCCGTGGGGGTCCAACGCGGATCCGAGAAATCCGCGCGGACCTCCGAGTTTTTATGTTTATGTCGGTGCTCGTTCCCCGAAGTGTGCTTTTTTTGTTGTGAGGGAGGAGATGGGAGCAGACACCGAACCTGTACACCACGCGGCGGGGGCGGGCAAGTCCTGCCCCCCAAGACAGGCAGCGGCCAAGATGTGGTGTTCGACTATATACTGATGCCTGGCTTCGCCACTGCAAGACCAGAGCTTGTTGCCCGAAATGTGCTTCTTTTGCGTGAGCAGCCTGCAGAACTCTCCCCCTCTCCCAGTGCCCGTCGGGCCGTGGGGCCCTCTCAGTGGGCTGGACGTGCTCGAGCTGCGCACGCCCAACCCTGGCACCGCGGGGAGTCCGGCGGGAAGGATGGAGAGTGCCGGGTCGAAGCGCAGGGGGGGGAGGAGGAGAGTATCCCAGACAGGATCGCATCGGAAAAAAATCTGGACGGGAGGTTTTTCGCTATTTTCGGCCCCTGGGGGCCCTCGCCGGCCCCCGGGACCGTCAAGAAACGACTCAGGATGAAAAACCGGCCCCAGGAAAAGGGTCTGGACTTCCGGGGACGCCGTCACGAAGAAATCAGGACGTCGCATGTCTGGGATTACAACGAGGGGCAGTGCGACATCCCAATCCCTGCATTGTGGGGTTTTCGATGTGTCAAAACATCAGCAATGAGCACGACCTGGGGATCCACAGTGCGGAGGGGGCGTCAATCGTCGACGGGGGCGCGTCCGATTAGGCCTCTGGGGGTGTATCGGCGAGTACCCCGTCTCCTCCGAGCGACCAATTGTTTGGGGGGGAGCTCGGGGACTGGGGAAGAGAGAAATCGCCTGCGACACTGGCCAGAAAGGGAAGGGTGGACAAGGGAAGGACATGACAGTCCAGAAGGGAGACGACTGGGAGCGGCAGGAAAGAGAATCCCGCTGCCATTCGAAGGCTATCCCGAGCGCACACCTCACGGGTAAACCAGTTGCACCAGCAATGTATTACCATATCTGGTGTTGGTGGGGAATTTCCCCCGAAAGCTACCCGAGCAGCAGGACTGAGTGCTTCCATGGCCTGGATGTGCGAAATGACCAGAACGGTTAGGCCACAGGGCCAGCAAGACGCGGCCAAGCAGGAGCCCCATCCAAGCGGAAGTCCCCAGCAACGGGGTGGCATGCCTGAGTGCACCACGACCGCTGCTGCTCGGAGTCGTCGAGCCTGACGACCTCGGCAGAGCCTTCGAACGGCCTCCTTTTGCCATGGATGCGCCGCGATATCACC